CTCTTCGGTATTGCACTGCGGCGTGGTGTCATCATGGCACAGCTCGTCGTCCAGATAAGAAAGAGCTAGGGTTACCCACCGCGTGAATGGCTGGAAAGAACATAGTGTGATCAGCGACGCTGCCAAGTGCCGAAGCACTCAATCGACGTCGTCGCATGCGCCGAGATACCCATTTCCCTGGAGCTTGGCTTGCCGAAGCCCTGCAAAGACGGGTGCGAAGCTCTAAATCGTAGTCTTACTTTCGGCATCGCCTACCCGCCCAGCTTTTGCCCAGTCACCGGCTGGTGATAAGACGGGCATTGCGAAATAGTCCCTTGATGCTGTATGGGTCAACCGCCGGCTTGGGCTACTAGCTAGATTCCACCAATTCCTGGAAACGAGGGTGGAGTGTATCCACATACGACACCTGCTCGAAAGAGAGACAGTCAAGGAATACCAAGACGGCGCTTGGGATGAGCAGATTTGCCGCTTCTGTGTCACTGTAAGGATGCTATGAGTATAATTGCGGTCGTGTGCCCAACCCTTGCGGTTCAGCAGCAGCTCATTCTTTTGCACCGCCCATACTCTTCCGTGCCTGCTAATCATGTCGGCTAACGCTGGCTCCAACGCCGTGGACATGGCCATGTCCAACGAGCCCAACAAGGCTGCTATGCCTTTGTACGAGATCGACGAGAAGCGTGCTCTTTCGGACGATCACACACCGTCGACTCTCAGCCACCAGCCTCATGGCGCTGATGTCTTCGAGGCCGACTTGGAAGGCGAAGAGCCTACGGAAGATGAGTTGAAGACACTTCGCCGTGTATCTGGAAAGATTCCGTGGACTGCCTTCACCATCGCCTTCGTCGAGCTTTGCGAGCGCTTTGGTTACTACGGATGTCAGGTTTTGTGTATGTTGTCGCTCGTACCTGTACAAGAATCAGCCCACTGACTATTTCGAAGACACCAACTTCATTCAACAGGACCTGCCCGTGATTGATGGTGTTCCACAAACCACTGGCAAGGACCCTCGCTCAGAGGGTCAACCAGGCGCGTTGGGCATGGGACAGCGTGCATCCTTCGGTATCGGTCAATTCAACTCTTTCTGGGCATACAGCACACCCATTATCGGTGCCATTATCGCCGACGAGTACCTTGGTCGCTTCAACACCATCTTCATCGCCATCGCCTTCTCTATCCTGGGTCACATTCTGCTCATCATCTCCGCCATTCCCGCTGTACTCACCAGCGGCAATGCCATCGGTCCTTTCATCCTTGGTGTCATCACCCTTGGGTTCGGTACCGGAGCTTTCAAGGCCAACATCTCCCCCTTGATCGCTGAACAATACCGCCAAACCAAGCCCCGTGTCATCAAGGACCCCAAGACTGGCGAGCGCGTCATCTCTGACCCCAACATCACGCTCTCTCGTATCTTCTTGTGTATGTTGTCCCCCAATGCGATATTTGGAGCAAACCACTAACATATTCCAAGACTTCTACATGTTCATCAACATCGGCTCTCTGACTGGACAAATCTCCATGGTCTACGTTGAGAAGTACGTCGGCTTCTGGTGTGCGTGGCTGCTACCCACCATCATGTTCTGTTTCTGCCCCGTCGTCCTTTGGGTCTGCAGGAACAAGTACATCCGCACTCCCCCCACTGGTTCCGTCCTCATCCGCGCCTTCAAGGTCTTGAAGCTCGCCACCAAGGGCAAGTGGTCTCTCAACCCTGCGACTACGCGCAAGAACTTCAAGAGCGAGCGGTTCTGGGAGGACGTCAAGCCCAGCCACCTCGGTGCCAACAAGCCATCCTGGATGCAATTTGACGACGCTTGGGTTGACCAGGTTGCTCGTGGCCTGCGCGCGTGCTCTTGCTTCACCTGGATTCCTCTTTACTGGTTGAGCTACAACCAGATGAACAACAACCTCACGTCGCAGGCCGCCACCATGACCCGTAACGGTGTTCCCAACGATGTCATCACCAACCTCAACCCCATCTCCCTGGTCATCTTCATTCCCATCGTTGACAACTTCCTCTACCCCGCTCTCCGCAAGGCAAACATCCGCTTCACTCCCATCAAGCGCATTGCTTTCGGTTTCATCCTCGCATCTTTCGCCATGGTCTCTGCTGCCGTTATCCAGCACTACATCTACGCCGAGGGCCCTTGCGGCGAATACATGAACAGCTGCGACGATCCAGCCCCGATCAACGTCTGGACCCAAGCCGTGCCCTACATGCTTGTCGGTTTCTCTGAGATCTTCACGTCGATTACTGGACTCGAGTTTGCGTTCACAAAGGCACCCAAGAACATGCGTTCGCTGGTTACTTCGTACTGGCATTTTATGTCTGCCTTTTCCAACGCGCTTGGTCAGGCGTTTGTGTCGCTGTCCGAAGATCCGTTGTTGGTCTGGAACTACACGACTGTTGCTATCCTGGCGTTCATCGGTGGCATCCTCTTCTGGTTCCATCAGCGCAAGACGGACAAGCAGGAGGATATTCTTAACATGCTTCCGGACTCCAACTACATGGGCAAGGACCGAAGGCATAGTGTTGCTGGTGCTGAGGAGGCTATCGCTGGCCACAACGTTGAGGCGCATGTTCGTACCCAGGGTTAACTCGTGGGCAGTTTTGTGCCAAACGTCGACGTTTATGAGTGCCGCTGCCAAGAGTGCCTGGTTGTATAGAGCTATCGTATGATTGAAGATACCTATCTAGCTTGAATGCTAGTTAATACACGAGACTTTTACCCAGCTCAAACATTTCTATAATCTTCTGCTTTTGTATTGTGGCACGAAGCCCAGCCAATCACGAACTAGCTACTGCATGTGCTACATACATGCACGCGTTACCCTGTATTGCCAATACTGTGTCGACGTTATGATATCTTCTTCGTAAGTCGTCTCCGTGGTCACGCCCTTGCTGATCCAAGACCAGTGTCTTCAGAAGCGGGGCATTAGTGAGCCAGAACGGCAACCTCCAGAAATGGACAACGCATGACAAAGACACAACATCATAAGACCACGAATAACAAACTTCAGAGATTGAATAGCCGTCAAAGCATCCATGTATATACGTTGAGTTACGGAGCGAACTGGTATTTGCAGTAGGATATACTGATGTGCTGACCAACACGCAAGCAAATGCATGTGCCTTCTACCACTATTGATTATATTGTGCTCACGCACCATGGTCACCAGGTAGTGTTGGCTATTCATTGCTCTGTCTTGCCGTTACAACTTTGTCTAGCCCAAGTCGTACTCGCCGGCTTGGCAGGTCAGGCTCGTGTAAAGTTTTCAACTTGGTCGATATGACGGGAGAAAGACCCTAGTATCCACATAGTGTACGTCTCTAGTCCTCCAACCAATCTCATATGCGTACATTCACCACCACAGAGCAAAGATAAGAACAACGCTGTACTCACATTCCGTCGTTATCTCTGTCTTGATTGGGCCCCACGTAGCCATGCTCACATCTTTCCGGATGGTAGTCGATGTACTTAAGCACGGCAACGATACTGGTGGGTAACTTCTCATAGTCGGCTAACGGTCCGCCTCCTTGGTCAGGCGGAAGAGGGCAACCCGCGGTCATGCAATCATCTAGATCGGCATGGAGATGAGATCCGATTGGGCATTTATAAGCGCCTTGGCTAGTAATGTTTGCTTCAAAGCAAGAAACAAGCTCAACGTCTTCTGGCGCCACTGGACCTTGTCCGTCCCCCCGTAGTTGTCCCCTTGGACCTCTGGTGGAATCGAGCCATGTACTATGGACAATATGCTCATCTGAATAATTATGTCCAGGGAACATATGCGTCTTGAATCTCGTAGTGATGACTTCTTTGTACCTCTTAGATAAGATCCACTGCTCCAAGTCTTCGAGACCAAGGAACTTGGCCTCAGACAGAAGTTTGTTATATCCCACGTAGTCGAATCCCTTCTCCCTCGTCCAGAGCAACGGATATGTGCTAGGTCTTTTGATATAGGTGAACAGTATTGGCCAGATCTCAGGGTCCGTATCGATGGGGAGCGAGCCGTCGGGCAACAGATCGATTCCAGCCCAATTACCGCCAAGCAGAGCGTCGAAGTAAGGAACGCTCATAAGGTCGGATTTTCGGATGCGATATTTGCGGCCGTCTACGTCGAGGGCTACGAAATTGCCGTCAGGGATCGGGGCGTCGCGAGGGAGGGCGAGTTGTTGAGGGGCGCGCGCGGCGTGCGAGCTGTGCGAGGCATTCGATGCGTCGATTTCCATGGCGCTGACATTCGATGTCATGGTCGAGGACTGGCTGAGCGGTCGGTGTGACGGGGGCCGATTGATGTGTGAAGTGATGAGAGATGGCAGACCGAGGAAGACGCGTCTCCAAACGCGCCAAGCCTTGCCCCGCTCGTGCTGTCCGCTGTTCCCCCAAGAGGAAATCCCTCCTACCAAATCTAACTCTAGAGGAACTCAACAATCTTTGGGAAACATCACAATGTCCTGCCAGCCTTTCGCTAATGACGCGCTGCAACGCGTGCGGTTGGGCTCTCGATTACTTCAATACCGGCACCGATTACGCCGAACACAAACCAGTCCACTTCTGCGACGCCTTCTCTAAAATCCAGATGTCGCTGGCACTCCGTGGCTATCACAAGGTGTTCATCTTTGCGGAAATGAGAATATGTTAACACTGTAGTGTCTTGTTCTGGGTCGAGGCGGAGTGGATTGCCCATATGCATGACCACGAGCGTGCATAGCATAGGAGGACAGAGGATCCAGGTGTTGTTCAACAGTCATGTGGGTAGATGTTATGAAAGCGGAATATAGACATTGTCTCTGTGCCTAATCACTTGAGCATGGATCGTGCCACCTGTTATCTGGGTACGGCCCTGACCGTTGTCGCCTCCGCCCGCACATCTCTCTCCCCTCACCTCCCACGGCGATATCTCCAAGCCTCTATTTAGCTCTGCCCTCCGGCGCAGCAACACTTGGGGCTAATTACCCGCGCTGCTCTCTATAACACTGCGCGTCTATATCACGACTCCAGGCAATGCCGCCAAAGACCATTACGGAGGAGATCGACGACGACACCGACGATGAGATCAACAGTGAGACCGACGACGACACCATCGGCGAGATTGAAGACGAAGACGAATCTGGCACCTTCCCTACAAACGACGAGCTTATAGCAATCGCAGAAGAGGATCCCACGTCCGCAGCAGGGCTCGCATACCAGACTCCCTTTGGCGCTTTGCTCTGGCAATTGACCCATCGTCACAACACCCGCGATCGTGTTACACGAGACCTTATTAGCAGTGTTGGTACCTAGGCAGTAGAATCAATCTCAGACTCTTACTCTGCACCATTATCAACTTCCCTGTAAGGTTGACTTGGCCATGGGTCCAGATCGGCAGGCCCAGAATTCGAAGGTTTGTACCAAATTTAACACTGCATCCTCGTCGTGCTGGGCCCTAGTAATGAGGCGACGATTCCAGTCATTAGAATAGAGAAGGGCAACTACAAGCATGGCCCCCAAGACGTTATAAGGAAGCACATAGTCTTCAATCAACACCAGACCGCTCTCTTGTCGCATCTCAAGTTGCCTTATACACCGTCTGCACGCTCTCTATTCTATGATCACCCTTTATGTTTCTTGTCGTGGTCACTCCAATGTCTCGGTGGTGCGAATCCTGATTCACCACGGAATCCAGACCATTCACTCACCACACTAAGCTAAGACAAACGCACCACACGTTGAAATACATATCCGACCAACGTCAAAATTGCGGCTTCAACCGTCACATAAAACTTATCCTACCTTGATAATACCAATTCAACGCGCACACCCCAGCAGCAATGGACGACATCTGGAGCGACACGGAGTTGAGCGAGACATCGTTTACCACTACCGAATCATCACCGCCGCCATCTCCCATCCTAACAGACTACCAAAACAACCTCATCGCCACCTATGCGTTCCACAGCGATAGCATCAGCGACCTCATGAACATCGCCGTCGACCTTGAAATCAGCGTGCGCCGCGAGCGCGACGAACCGAGCCTCCCATACCTTACCGAGGATTTGGAAAAGACACGAGGGGAGCTGGTGTTGCACAGGGACGCGAAGCGCAGGATTGAGAGAAATCTCAAGAAGGAGAAGGAGAGGTTGAAGATGGTGGTTGGAAACGGGTCAATCGTGGCGAAGCAGCAGTTGAATGAGATGGCTCGTTATATGGAGGTGGATAAAACGATAGAGTGTCTACGCTGAGAGATGAGTGGGCTAGGGCGCGCAAACCTGCATATCTAGAGGGAGTCTACGGCGTCTGGTGCAAGGGAGCTTTGACAAACACGACGTGCATCAAGTTGGGTCTAGGACTGAGAGGACGCAGTACACAACGGTTTCATGCCTTTCCTTGGATGATATTGATGCTCTTCCTCATACAAGTAACAATGGGTGCTCATGTGAATGGGGTATACTGTTAATCGCAACCATCGAAACTGGACGAGACGAGCAAATGACAACAAGAAGCTGGAGATTACGGAACTGTACAGGGTATTGTTACAAACAGTACAAATACAAATACAAACAGCACAAAACGCAAAATCATGCGACAGTAAGACTAGCGGCGCTTGGGGTGTTGCGCTTTTGCTAAATGGTCTCGTCCACGTCTCCATTCGATACTACGTCAAACCCGAGCATCGGATGTGTCACCTCTCCCCAACACCACAAGCAGGTCTTGTTCCCAGCCTGTCGCCCACAGGCGCAATGTTCTTTGTGTTCAGCGAACATTGTATCGAGGGTAGTTTCTTCCGCCTCGTAACAGCGTAGGCATAGCCAGCGGTCAAGGAAGTGATTACGCAAAGTGCACTGACACTGGGAGTCTTGAAGACTGCTTCTCCTATCCGAACCGTCTTTTGGGAGGCAGTCGTTGCAGAACCATCGTTTCCTTTGCTCTGTTGCTTGGTATAAGGCTCGAAGAACGGGCGAGGGGTGCACGACGTTTGAAGACGCCGATGCGGCCAAGGTGTGACTGCCGAGATCCAAGTCCAGGAGCTCTTCGACACACTCGGGTAGACCGAAACTATCTTCTTCAAAAGGAACGTCGATGAAGCCTTGGTCGTGATGTGGTGCACTGGAACCATGCGCAGGACTTTCCCATTCTGACGCGGGGTGATCACTAGACATGTGATGTGGGCTGAGGATGGGTATCTCAGATGGTGATAACAAGATAAAGCCGCTAAAGTTGGGCAACTCATCTTCATCACATGGCGTTTCGTAGATGCTCTGGTAGACGCAGTGGATGCGGCACTCGTCGCAGGTGCTGACCTTACATCTTGAACAGGGTCGACACTCCGTATCAGACTCTTTTGCGCCGCACTTGATGTACTCAGTACAGTCATAAGCATCGAAGAAGGTCGACTTCTTGTGGCGCTTGTTACGGATCCGTACACCCCTACCAGAACACTTGAGTTTGCCCAGCAAATTCTCCAAGCTACTGGGCTGCGGTAGTATCGTCTTATGCATAGTCTTTGAGCATAGGAGTAGCGCCATGAGGTCGTCTGGGTATAGGCTTGATATGATCATCTCCAACAAGCCATATTCGTGGAACACTTCCATAAGAGGACACCGCTCCCTTGACGCAACCGCACTGTCCATTCTTGTCTTTTTGCGCGCCTCCATTTGCTCACCGCACGATCTTTTGCGCTTTGTAGTCTCCATGGTCTCCCACTCGCGATAGTCTTGATCCCAATTATGTCGTGGTTCTGCTGTCCTAGTGGTAGACACGCGGTGGTCTAGCGATTGAGTAGCCATATCAGCCTTGAGTTGAGACTCCTAAGAAAGATGAGCAAGGAAGACTAAGGACGTCGGTGCGTCAGTCGAAGTCATCATGGGCCAGCAGATGCACCATGAGAGTACCGGCTCATGAGCACCACCGAGTCCGCGCAATGACGGGAAGCGCATCTCAAGGCGACGTACTTGTCTCTCACGTCGCAACGTGGTTCTAGCCTTCCGCGCCTCTGATAGCGCTTAACAGCTTTCAGTACCTGGATCTGGGTCCATCTTGGCGTTGTGTTGACAATAGTGTGGGGGACGCTCAACAGGCGGGACGAGATGAACAATGGCGTTGTATTACCAACACCTCGCAGCAAAGTGGGGCGTCTATTTCAGAACCAGGGCGATTCAGAAAGAGCATGAGAAACGATGAGGAATTTTTAGTCTCGTCTATTTTGACCATCGTGGACGAACGGGGAGATGCGGGATTGCGTTCCGGTAGCGGCCGACCGACGAATGAGCATCGATGACATGATGGTGCCTCGGTCATTGCTTCTTTCCGTCTCCCTTGATCCTTCACTCGACTTCGCGCTGTTCGGATGCACGCAACATATGCGCAACGCACGCGCAACTCTACTTCACCATCGACCGTCACATTGAACCACGCCTCCGTTGATTCCGATCATGCCATCTTACTGGCCCTTTCATAACGTTGGTGGTATGCGCGACGCACCGCTACTAAGCCATCGTCCAGGCATTTGAACCACAGTCACGCGTGCTCAAAGCATCGAGAGGCCGCGACAGTTACCGTTAGCTGTTCAAGGCTTTTCATCCATAGGATTGTTACATCATGGGTGCTTCGATGGGACGATGATTGTGCACACAGCTCAATCGCATTCTCGAACGTACATACTCGCACCTCTCGAGCTTTCCCATGGGCGATATTTCGAGCTTCCTCCCAGTTCCCTCATTCCGATGCGTAGTCACCACCTCCTTTGGTCCCATCTCATCGCCGCATTGGCATGACCCTTACTTCTTCTCATCCGGAATTGAGTAGCAGCAGCCGATATCGAGCACATTATAGAAGTCGCAGTCGCGCTGGACGTAGAAGCCACCCTTCTTGTAACAAGTCGTTTTGGTAGTGCAAATTCCCGACGGGTCCGACCTTCCGCATGGTGCCTAAAGATGGGTGTACGAAGTCAGTGTTTGTCTCACATGCAGTTCGTACATAGGCAGTTACTTGCTGGGTAGGGGTCTTTCGGCGCAGCGAGAGCGATGGAAGCGATCGCGGCGAAGAGAACGAGAACCTTCATCTTAATGTTTGATGACAGATGATGCGATTTCGATCAATGGAGGTGTTGGTTTGGAATCTCGGAGATTTATGGAGGTGAGTGAGTAAGTTGACGGCTTGTGTAGTGATGTCGCTTTGGTTATCACAAATCAATGTTTATATAGACAGCAGCCTCGTATCTACGGCGCCACTGACATCGCTACAGAGGAGGAGCTCATCCAAATGTCCTGCGTCGAAATCCAAATTTAGCTGGGACTATCTAAGCGACTCCGAACCGCCCAAGGTCCGTCCAATCCACGCATCTCTGCGCCCACCAGCCATCATTCTAAGCTTTGCGTATTCGCAGCAGCGATATCGTCATGTTACCATCTAGGCCAATGTAAACCTTCAACCGTAGACGTTGCGATAGCGCTCATATGCCTAAATTGCGTCGCAGAATTTAGCGAGAAATGCAATCTATCTTCCCCGGATTTTCGTATTGCCAGCACTTCTGATAAGTCCCCCACATGCGAGCTAGACATTTTACCATATGAAACGGACGTACTGTCCTTCGCGGCTCGGATACCAGGCAGATATGACGTCGCTGTCGCATCCAGTGCTGAATTCTGTCGCGTCGCGGTATCATCGAGGCGGAAGGTCGTATGAACTCATAGGGTACCAAGGCAGTTAAGACGGCACTACTTCTGCCTTGGAAATCTACACCGGGTGCAAGTCCGCAGAATTCAGTCGCTCCAGCAAACCACCTCACTAAGCACGCTCCAGATCTCTCTGGCACAGCACTCGTGACCCACTGTGGCTAGGATTGCAGCCATGTTAGACAATCAGCGCTGCGTCGTTCTTGCGGAACTTCTGCACGCTGCTGCGCATCACTGCAACTTTGCCACGTGAGTATGGAAAGTAATCGTGGTAGGTGCTTCACGCGCACGTGATGCAACGTCTTGTCTGAACGAAAGAGCAAGTCTCCCCAGGGCCATGTTGCTAGCAATTTCATCCAGAAGAGGACTCTGGACGAGTCACGTCTTGAACCACTACTCCCTGTTGTCTAATCTGCTGTGTCCAGTTGGCCGACAATAATGCGATGGCCTCCAACGCCGGTTCCAATGAGATTTGGCATGATCCCGGCCTTCGTGGTGTAGTGTGGCGCATTTGACGTCGCAGCGCGTGAGCAGGAAGCGCCACCAGTGGTCTAGGCTTTCTGTATAACCGTTTGAGGTGGCTCGAGGTGACGAGATGCATGTCTCCAGTCGTCCCTAATCCTCCTGACT